TGCAGTGCCTGAGCCGAGGATTGAGAGGCAAGTGGGAAAGGGAATTCCTGGCCAAACACCAGCTGGGACAGGGATGTCTGGTTGGGGCAGAGATGGGGAGTTCGGATTTGGCTGTGAAGAATCCAGAATTCAGTGTCTTGAGGCTGAGGTCAACCTGCAAGGCAGGAGGCAGATGAGAGTCTCTCTCAGCTTCTCAGGCAGCACCAGGGGCAGGGAGCAGTTTCAGTCTGAGGGGCCATGCAGTCAAGAATGAGCTATGAATGTTGTTATTATCATAGTCTGGGTCTCATGTAGACCAAGCTGGCTTTGAATTAGCTATGTAATTGAGAACGACCCTGACTGACTGAATACCTGATTCCTGATCCTCCTCGCTCGACATGAATGTGGGAATTATGGCATCTGCAGCCACCACACCCTGCTTACCTATGGCAGTTGAACAATGTGTTTGACAGTTCTACCAATATTGGTGAAGATGGTGAGGGGCTTTTTGTTTTTATTTCATGCGTATGGATACTTTGCCTGCATGTATGTCTGTGTGCCAGTATGCATGGTTGATGTTGCAGAGGCCGGAAGGATGCCCTGGAACTGGAGTTACTTAGCTGCCATGTGATGGTGCTTGAGATTGAACCCAGGTTTTCTGCAAGAGCCATCTCTCCAGTCCCAGACACGGGACCCTTAAGCAACTGGATGGAAATAATGTGTGTTTTGATGAATATCTGAATGGTAAAATTAGCAAACTTGATAGGTTTGTTTTTGAGCTAGGATCTTATATGTCCTGAGGCTGTACACTAGCCTTTCACTGCGTAGTTAACAATGACCGTGAACTTCTGATCCTCTTCGTATTAGAGGTGTGCTGCCACACCCAGTTTATGACGTGCAATGGATCAAACCTGTGGTGATTTAAATAGGTTTGGCCTCCACAGACTGATGTCTTTGAATGGTTGGCCCTTAGGAAGTGGCATTATTAAGAGGTGTGGCCCTTGTTGTAGGAAGCCTGTCACTGTGGGGGCGGCCTCTGAGGTCTCCTAAACTCAAGCTAAGCCTAGTGTGATAGTCTTCCCCTGGCTGCCTTCAGATCAAGTTGTAGAACTCTCGGCTCCTCCAGCACCATGTCTGCCTGATGCTGCCGTGCTTCCCACCTTGACAGTAACGGACTAAGCCTTTCAAAGTGTAAGCCAGCCACAATGAAATATTTTCCTTTATAAGAGTTGCCATGTCTCTTTACAGCAATGGAAACCCTAACTAAGACAAAATACAACACTTTATGGTTGCTAGGCAAGCACTCTACCACCTGAGCTATTCCACACCGGGCTGGTGATTTACTTGAGAGAGAAGACCCAGGATATGGGCCTACAGTAGGTATAGGGTTATAACTGTGTGGTCTCAACTAAAATAACCAGAACATCTCTGTGATCAGCCTTCAAAACATAATCAGTGCGGGAACTGATCATGTCCTCATCTAAGAACGGCAGAGAACAGTGGGCAATCCAGAAACTAGCAACAGCAGGGAATTAGCACTGTCCTGATTGGAGGGAGAGGATGGAGGCAGATGGTGTCAGAGTCTAAGGAGAAGATCCACAGGTGGTCACAGCCACTGGTAGACCCCAGAGGGGAGATGGAGGACAGCAGAGGTCCCACCGCACCCACCTGAAGACCAGCTGAAGGAGCCTGGCAAATTTCACCTGTGACTGGAGTCCTAGTGTTGCCCACCAGTTTAAATGGGCAACAGGGCAGAATGGCCTTTTCAGAGAAGGTGGAGATGTGTCCATTTCAGGACATGCTAAGTTTGAGCTGGTCAGGGGAGCATTCAAGGGGAGCTGCCCAGCTTGGCAGTTACTGGTCCAAGTTTCAAAACTGAGGTGAGGTGGAAGGCGCAGAACTACTTCAACAGATTCCATCCTCAGGGCCTCAGCCTGTTGCCTTTACCCACTAGGCCATCCACTAGCTCTAGTGCTGGGCTCCTCCTCAGTTTTCTCATTTGTAAAATGGGAACAAGGGTTTTGTTTTTGTAGGTTGCTCTGGGTATTTGTTATTTTAAGTTCAGCAACTGTAACGAGTGTTGGTATTTGTGTAGGTGTAGATGTGGGTGAATGTGGAGGCCAGAAAACAACCTCAGGTGCCGGTCCCCAGAAATTCCACAAAAAGAAAAAGAGAAAGAAAAAAAGATCTTCCAATAGTCTGAACCTGCAACATAGGTTAAGCTGGCTGAACAGCCAGTCACAAGGATACACCCTGTCCTTGCCACTCCAATGCTGGATTACTGTTGGTGGCAGGTGGGCCATCTGTTTTAATTTATTTTAATCCTGATTGACAGTGAAGTGGCTTCCATTTGTACCCTTGGCTGTCTGCCCACACCATTCTCGAAGGACGGCGGGACGGGAGCACAGTGACTGGAGGTCTTGCCTGCCTCATTACAAGTGCACACTACACTTGTAGAAAAAACATCAAGTAACCAAACTGATGTTATAGAGGATTAACTGATAGATTAGCTCAGGATACATTAAATCACACAAAGTAGAATCTAGCCTGCGCTGCCTCCAAAACACTCTGAAGATAAGTCGTGTGTAGCCAGGCTTACAGATAAATAAGTAAAACCTACTAGGCCAGGATGTAAATGCTTACCGGGATTGAGCAGTCATCACATTCATACCCAAGGAACATGCTTTTGTCAGGAGGCTCAAGGGGGAAGTGCAGGATCACAGCTACCACTAAGACAGAGTCTGTCACTAAGTTCCCTGGGTTCTTATTAGGAAAAGCACAATTCTGCCAGGTAGGCAAGATGAATCCGGTAACAACTATTTGAAAAGACAACAGCAATGTACTTAACAAATAATCCTAGCCAGGTACTAGTGGCACAGGACTTTAATCCCAGCACTTGGGAGGCAGAGGCAGGCGGATTTCTGAGTTCGAGGCCAGCCTGGTCTACAGAGTGAGTTCCAGGACAGCCAGGGCTACACAGAGAAACCCTGTCTTGAAAAAAAAAACCAAACAAACAAAAAACTAAAACGAAAGAAAGAAAGAAGAGAAAGAAGATAAAGAAGAAGAGAAAGAATGAGTCTTGATAGAATCTTTGTTGAGTGATTCTCCTATCTGCCCAAATGGTCAGACTTAAATTTTCCATCTGTATTTAAATTATTTAATAATCTGAGATCTGGACCTAAAAGAGATTTAAGGGTGACAAAGTATGCACACTCCACAAGCTTACCATGTCTATAAGTTATTAAGATTTTCTTCTGTTTGAGGCCAGCTCTTCCTTGGACATTGGCTGTATCCAGTTGTGTGTAAAAGTATTTTCTTTACTGATCTCTAAGTGTGCAGAGCGATTTCTCGCTGGGAAGGCATTAAATTTCTACACTACAACTGTGCTGGGGGTTGCAGGGGGTGGAGATCTGGGGATTGAATTTATTTATTTTTAATTATTTTATTTTTTGAGATAGGGCCTCTTTGTGTAGCCTTGGCTATCTGGAACTCACTCTGTAGACCAGGCTGGCCTTGAATTTAGAGATCTGTCTGCGTCTGCCTCCTGAGTGTTGGGATTAAAGGTGTGTGCCTCTACCGGCCAGCCTGGGGACTGAATTTATTACCTGCCAACTGAGCTACTGACTCTGACTCTTAAGTGATTTTCTTCCCCCCTACAGATGAGAAATCAAGCCTCTGGGTAAGAGAAATATCCAAAGTAACAGGCTAATTAGGACAATATCTGGATAAAAACCTAGGTCTTACACCAGGCACCAGCTCCCACACAGGAAGCATGGTGAAACAGTGAATTCCCCAGGAACTGTATCAGGCTCGGGGCAGCAAAAGCAGCAATTCATTGTATCCAGCCTAGAACAGTAAGTTTATAGAGCCAGCTCCAGGCAGGAGACAAAGAGTGGTCAGAGAACAAAGAAATCAGTCTAAATAAAGGGAGGATTCTGGCACTGGAAAAATGGCTCAATAGTTAATAACCCCTACTTCTCTTACAGGGTGCCAGAGTTTGGTCCCCAACTCTCACACTGGGAGAGCGCAACGTACAGCTGCCTATAATTCCAGTTCTAAGAGGGGATGGCCATCAGTGGCCTCCATACATTCGTGATTTAAAATCTTTTAGAAAATTAAGGGAACTTTTTTTCCTTTAATTTACATTTTATGTGTGTCTGCCACGTGTAGCGTTACAGGAGATTGTGAACCACCACTGCCTAGGTGCCTGAGAAGTCCTTGGCAAGAACGACAAGCCGTTTTAGCCTGAGCCATCTCTCAAGCTCTAAAAGGGACATTTGTATAGGTAGACATAGGTATAGGCTAACAGGATTTGGTCTTTGCCATCACTTCCCCATCATTCCCCACCCCAGTATCCCCTTCTCCTTTTTTTTTTTTTTTTAAAGATAAGTATCCCAGGGATGACGTTTAAGTTCTGATCATCCCCTCCCTCCTTAGAGTTGCAGTAACTGCTTTCTTGTGCCACCACGCCTGGTTCTTGCGATGATGGATGCAACCCAGGGCCTCACTCCAAGCCCCACTTGCTAGTTTTTTTTTAAAAGGACGCCTGCAGGCAAGAAATTAAGGAACGGTGAAATCTTAAACGCCTCTGTGGCTTGCATGGAGCATGAGCCCTGAGCTCCTCGCCGCAGCACACGGGGCCTGCGCACTCGCAAAGTCAGGCGTGCAGGCGGAAGTGACGCCATTCGCGTACACCACGGGAACCACGCCAGGCCGCTGCAGAGTCTTTGGACTCCGGGATGCTTCCGGAGTTTTTAGTTCTACGCACTTGCGTCATCGCGTAACTGGCATAGCTGCTGGGCGGAGAGGTGACGTCTGCGTCGCGAATAGCAGAGAAGGGCGGATCCGGGGAGACGATTGGGCATTAGCTCCGCCTCTTAAAGCGACGGAGCCCTCTACGCAGACTTTGGGAGCACCCTGCAGTGCAGCTCCTTTAAACGTCGTGGTGACACGTGTGTGAGGCTCTGGAGGCCCGGATGGTGCGCATGCTGGCCCGACCCGGAGCGGACACTGGTGCTGCGCGGGCCTTCCGCGGGTTCCCGAGAGGCCTAGGAGGTCGAGGTCGGGCGCGGCAGAGCGCAGGAGCTTCCGTGGGGTTTGGGACAGGAGGGCGCGCGCTCTTAATCGCAGGTTCTGGGGATTCCAGCGAAGGTTGACAGGTGCGTGGCCAGCGAGGGCACCGGGGAACGCGGAGAGAACATCGGACGCGAGGGACGGGGATCCCCGGAGAGGACAGGGCGTGCGAGGGTCGTAGGGAACACTAGAGAAGGTTGGGGTGCGAGGGTCTTGGAGGAACAAGGGATGCCAGTGCCTCCGAAGAAGGGACAGGTGATGTGAGGGGCGCCTGCGAACCCTAGCGTGGCCAGGGAATTGCATCAGTCTCTTCATCCCGAGGAGCTTCTGGAACGTGGGGTCGCTGAGATCTGAGAGCCCCCACGGTTGTTCTCAAAGCAGATGTTCCTTTGAAAGTTCCCGGGGCTGAAGATCTTAGGGTGGAGGTAGACCTGTAGTCTATCATATAGATTAGGGCAGAGTCAGATCCTTAACTCGGATCCACACCGAAATGTAATAGCAGGACAGCATTCTAACCAAAATGCCCCATTGCTTATGGTGTGTGTGAGCGCGCGCGCGCGCGAGCCTGCCTGCGTCTGTGGCGTGACCCTTGGTGATGGAGATGGTAGAATAGCATCCTAAAATAGGGATGGATGTACCCGGGCACCTTGCTTAGCTGTGGATGCTTGCAGATACCAAAGAGCATGTAGTTCAACTGTTCCCGGCTCGCAATGCTCTGCGGTGGGATGCCTTAGAGGCCCCAGCACTGTCTGTCTTGGTCAGCATGTAAGTGACCCTGAGAATCTTAAGTGTTTCTTGGAAAACAGTTTAAAGAGATGAGAGAAATGCTTTGTTTAAATGATATCTGTCAGAAGGAGCCAGGCTTGAGTTCGGAATTAGATATGTCAATTGGGGGCGCTGAGTAACCTAGTCCTTAAGAGACCTGGGTAGAGCATCTCTGTCGGCTTGAGAGTCACACGTGCTGTGTGTCCATGTCAGAAGGCTTGCTGGGAATTACAAGAACACTTTTCTCACTCCTACGTCACGTAGCAGCATCTTTCATGTAGAATTATAGACACTTTGATGCTATAGCTTCAAAAATTACCTTGACTGAGTGAGCCTGCCGTAAGTGTAAGACCTTTAAAGACCTTTAATGGCCAATGACTTTGGATTAATGCTCCATTCGCTCATCCTTGAACCACGTTAGGCCAGGACAGAGTTCTCACCTCCCCATAGGAAAGTATGTGTGATTTTTGAAAACGATGTTTGTTTGGTGGGGGTTTTCAGAAGCCAGGCTGCCTTCCGTCTGCATTCTGCTGGGGGTGGGGGTTTTGGTTAGATGGAGTTCTGAGGCATTCTGCAAGGGAACCTGGGAGTGGAGAGGTGAACCAAGATTGGTCAGGCTGTTGTCTAAGCCATCAGTGGTGGCATTGTGCTGACTGGGCCACCCTTTGCATCTTTGTGCGTTTGAATAGATGGAAAAATGCTCTTTATGGGACTGAGTTGACTGTAGTGGGAATTGAAGAAAAGGTTTATAGTTAGAAAATTAGAATTTCATGTATTAAAAAACAAAACCACCTTCCTCGCCAGGCAGTGGTGGCGCACACCTTTAATCCCAGCACTTGGGAGGCAGAGGCAGGCGGATTTCTGAGTTCGAGGCCAGCCTGGCCTACAGAGTGAGTTCCAGGACAGCCAGGGCTATACAGAGAAACCCTGTCTCGAAAAACAAAACAAAAAAACAAAACAAAACCACCTTCCTGGCTAATGAAGGAAAACAAAAGTTTGAGGTTTTTACCTATTCTCCCCTTGTAACTTTGGACATGTTACTCAGACTGGAGTTCCCCCCCCCCCCCCCGTGTGTGTGTGTGTGTTTGTGTGTGTGTGTGTCTTTAGTGTGAGGACCGTGATATAGAGCAGAGGGTAGTGTGTTCACGTCGTAACTACAGTGATCTGTTAGCACAGTGTCCTCTGGACTCACTGTGAATTCAGCATAGAGAGAGAGTTTTGTTTTGTTTTGTTTTGTTTTGCTTTGTTTTGTTTTGTTTTGTTTTGTTTTGTTTTTGGACAAAGCCTCATCTCACTACACAGCCCAGGCTGGCCTTGAATGCTTGATCTTCCTGCCTCAACTTCTCTAGAGGCAAGCATCTCTGTGCCTTATTTCCTTTAACCTTGATGATACTGTTTTCCTGGTGGAAGGGCACAGTTCACACAAGAAAGCCACTAAAGAGAGCAGGAGAAGCCACCCACGGGTGACAGTCTTTCTGCTCACCCTCCAGGTGCTGGCCTATCCTGGACTCTATTCTTGGCAGTGTTGGTGACTGAGCAGGCTGAAGTCCAGGGGAGCGCCAGCCGGGTCAGTTCCATCCCTCCCTTGAGAACCTGGTTTCCTTACCTGCTGCAGAGAGAAGCAGCAGCCAGGCTCAGGCGCCCCAGGTAAGCCCGGAGGGTTCCTTGTGTCTTTATTTCTTTAGTGACCAGAACCTGGCATTGACTGTTCTGTGGGTAAAGTCTTGATAAGTCCCCATCACAGAAGGCTTTGCCATTCTTGTGTCAGGGGACTGATGCCTTCTTTGTTTTTGTTTATTTTGGGGTAGAGAAATCTCAGCTACCTGTGTAGCTGATTCTTGGATAGTCAGGGTCATAGGTATCATTTGTCTGATGTAAGCAAGCAGTTTCAGGAAATGTATTTTTTTTAACTGTGACTCGAACAGCTAATGGTAGCCAGATGAGTTGAGAGTTGGGAGGTGGGCAGGATGAGGGTCCAGGTGTAGCTGTTAGGTGATGAGGGAGCTTTTCTTTGTTTCAGTCTGTGCGGGTGTCCTGGTGGACTGTACCTCTGTCAGGGACTGCTGTGCAGCAGGCATCCTGACTGATCGATCAGTCGCTCTAGCCACCTTCCCAGCTATGTCCCTGAAGCTGTAGCTAAAGGGGACGGGACACACGGACCTACTACTCTTGGGACACAAGTTCCTGCTGCTTTCTTAGCTTTTCTTCTCTAGGTCTTCACTCGGGTTTAGAGTGTGTGTGTGTGTCTGTGTGTGTCTTTTGTGTATGTTTAAATGAGACATGGTTATATTATGTAGCCCAGGCTGGCCTGGAATTTGCAGCAGTCCTCCTGCCTCAGCCTCTCAGGTGCTGGGAGTAAGGCAGCCCTGAGTAGCCATGCTCACAGCTGAGAGAGACGACCTGGGTGTGCACTGCCTAGTAAAAACAGAGTGGCCAACGCAAGGGCAGTGCTCACAGCAGCTACGTGAGAAAAATAAAAAGGTAAAATAGATTTTTATAACATTGTATTTGAGCCAGTCTAGGTAAGGTGCTGTCATCTCCATATGTGCCGCCATCTGAGAAGCTGGGATGCTTTGCGTTGTCTCCTTAAAGTAGCCACGGAATCCTGACGGTGACTCCTCTTTACAGCTGGCGACCTGGCCTAGGTGTGGGCATATGCTCAGTAGTGAGTGTGGTCCCTGGGCTCTGTAGAGGAGCACGGAGAGGTCTGGATAGACATGCTTGCCCATCTGACTTACAAGCTGACCCATTTGCGCACTCACTCGTGTGTGGACATGAGTGTGTGCATGCATGTGTGTACACATCCACGCATGTACACCCTGACTGGCTTGCAACTGTAAGGCAGGCTGGTGTCCCCCTTACTGAGATCCACTGGGACTGGATTTGGGATTAAAGGTGTGTGGACTACTCCCAGCTAAGGTTTCTTTCTTTTAATTTTTAATTCTACATATGTGTGTTTATGTATGCGTGCGTGCAGGTGCCTGTGAATTCTAGAAGAGGGCATTGGGTCACCTGCTGCTGGCTATGAGTGTTTGTCAGTTGCATGACATGTGTGGCGGGAACTATACTCTGCAGGAACAATGTGTGCACTAAGCCATCTCTACCGCCCCCTCCCCCAATTAAATTTTCACATCCGTTGTGTAACCAGTTTGTGAGAATTAGCCGTTCACTGTTTTTTAAATAGTTGCAGGAAATAATGCCGATCACCACACACAGCGTTGCTTGCCGTGCGTTTAGCTGCCCCTGTGCATTTTGGGTCTTGCTGGCTGCTATATGAGCAAGCAGAAGTCACGTGCTTGTCCCCGGATGTAGCTGTTCACGGTCTGGGATCCTTCCCGCCCCCCGCAGGAATGCACCATGCCAATAGTCGATAAACTGAAGGAGGCTCTCAAGCCTGGCCGAAAGGACTCAGCAGAGGATGGGGACCTGGGCAAGCTGCTGGCAGCCTCAGCCAAGAAGGTCCTTCTGCAGAGAATTGAGTTTGAGCCGGCCAGCAAGAGCTTCTCCTACCAGCTGGAGTCCTTGAAGAGCAAATATGTACTGTTGAACTCCAGGGCTGAGGGAGGCAGTCGCCACAGGAGTGGAGATGAGCTTCAGGCCAGGAAGCCAGGTACTGATGTTGCTCAGGGGTATAGCCCTTGTTGGCAGCTGGAGTAGTTTGGGTTTCTCGGGATCAGCGGGCTACAGTAGTAGTTGTCATGATGCCCAGTGAGTAGTGAGGATGGCTGTGGACCTGGGTGTTCCTTGAACGTGACCACCATCTTTAATGAGATCAGAAAGTAGGCCCAGGGCCCAGAAGTGGCTTAGCCGAACAAGCATTGGCTGTGTGATCCTGGTCACCCAGAGTCCACAACCTGAACCCGCATCAGTGGCCAGATCTGGGTGCTGCAGTACACCGGTAGCCTCAGCACGCCTACAACAAGATGGGAGAGGAGACAGGAGGATGTCCAGGGTGCTTTGCACCCAGCCGGAGATTTAATAAGGAGACACTGCCTCAGGGCGGTGAGAACTGGCTCTTAGAAGTTGTCCTCTAACCCCAGCTCACATGGGTCTTCTACTCTCGTTACACTCACACAACTTAAATTTAGGGTTGAAAAGAAAGTGGGAGTCGAAAATACTGAAGTGGGGCATGTCCCGTGGCGCACAGTGTGGCACCAAGCAAGGGCCTGCTGCTGTGCTGGGTCTCATCCACAGGGGGTCTTGAGCTCTGCACTGAGCACTCACGGGGCTGGGGGTGGGGGTTCCAGGGATGCCCTGCTCTCCTCGTGCTCCCTCAGCTCTTTCTCTTCCAGGCACCGAACGTGTGTCTGGAAGTGGAGGCGACGGAGTGCCTGCCCCACAGAAAGTGCTCTTCCCTGTGGAGCGACTGTCCTTAAGGTGGGAACGCGTTTTCCGAGTTGGCGCAGGGCTGCACAACCTGGGTAACACCTGCTTCCTGAACTCCACCATTCAGTGCTTGACCTACACGCCGCCTCTGGCCAACTACTTGCTCTCCAAGGAGCACGCACGGAGCTGTGAGTGGGGCTACTGTGGGGGCTTTGCTGTGAGTCAGCTGAACTCTAACTGGCTAGATAAACCCCTGTGCATGAGGGGCCTTCATTCTGTGTGACATTTAAAGTGAAGTTAATGGCATGTGGCCATTGACAGAGCCCAGGGGCATTTCGCCTGCTGTAGGATAGCCAGGCCTTTCATGGGTCTCACTCACGTAGGGTCATGTTTTTTAGAGAGGGTTTTCAAAGGATACCTCCACGCTGTGTATGTTCAGCTATCTTATGTGTATACTGAACCAATATGTTTTATATATATCCCAAAACAGGCCCCAAAGTAGAACTTATAACCGGGTGAAATAGCTGGACCCCAGCGTAGCAGTTTACAGCATTTGCTGCTCTTGCTGAGGAGCCGGATTTTAGTCTTGGGGTTTACATGGTGGCTGACAGGATCCATTCTTGAGGATCTGACGCCCTCTTCTGTTGTGTTTGAGCACCAGTCATGCATAAGACGCACCTAGATACGTGAAGACAAAGTACTTACAAATAAATCTTCTTTAAAAAGTGGGATGAGAGATGGCTCCACGCTTAGGAGCATGTGCTGTTCTTCCAGAGGACCTGAGTTCGGTTCCTGCCCCCACCCCAGGTGACTCCCAACCCCCTTCAGCTCCAGCTTGAGAGCCTGACATCCTTCTCTGACCTCTGTACTCATGGGCGCGTACACAGCCACAGACTTAAACATGCACACAACTCACAAAGACATCGTTAAAATAAGGAGCTGCCGAGATGGTTAAGAGCACTGGCTACTCTTCCAAAGGACCAGGGTTCCAATCCCAGCGCCCACATGATGACTCAACTGTCTGTAACTCCAGTACCAGAGGATGAGACACTCTTTAGACACTGCACACCCTTAGTCACAGACACACATGCAGGCAAAACACCTTTGCCCCAAAATAAATAAAAATAAAGTAATAGATGTTTAAATTGAATTAAATAAAATGTACTATTAAAAATTAAACAAGTTAGAAGGTGTGTATAATGTCAGATAATTAAGAATGTAAACCAGGAGCTGGGAAATAGTGCAGTCAGGAGTGTACTTGTAATACATCACTAGAGAGGCCCATATCCTGGGGCCCAGGCCAGTAAGAGACCCTGTGTCAAAACACAGGTTGAAAACAGAGCAGCAGCAACTGGAGTTGACGTCTGGCCTTCACAGGCATGTGTACCACACACACAAGAAAGTCAGGCTACGGTTAAAAAACCTTTGGGACGGGAATAACAGCACACCATATGCTGGGATGATCTTGTCAGGAGACAGTTGTGAACCGGAGCTAGCCCATGTTCCTCCTTCAGCAATAGTAAGTGGAGATGAACCGGAGCTAGCCCATGTTCCTCTTTCAGCCACTCTTCCAATGAGCAGAGAAAGGACACTCGCTAGCTTATGCTGTGGATTTTTTTTTTTTTTCAACCTGCAGGGCAACATAAGAAAAATCTTTATCCCACCTTACTAATGAGCTAGTCTGAACTCATTAGCAAGCATCTTGGGCAGCTGTAAACATCATTTGGAGAAGAGTTCATCCTGAGCGTGCAGGCCTTCTGTGGGAAAGCCTCCCACCGTTGCCGTGGGCTCAGCAGCTGAGAGGGCCTCCTGCCTGTCTATGTCCCAGTTCTGCTGCTAAACAGCTGTGTTATAATGTTCTATGACTTTCTTCTACCTTCTGTCCCTGCTGTGCAGAATGATACTGCCTTCCATACATAGTTATGAGGACGACATGAATTCTCTGAAGGGCTTCATGTTTTATCACTTGGCACAGGACATGCTGACAAAATCTGTTGTTTTCCTGTCTGGATGCTCAGGTAGTTACTGTATCAGTGGCATGAAAGAGCCTGGAAAACAACAGCAGAAATTGAAAACAATACATTCTTGCAGTAGTGAGGGGGCTCGTCTTTCTGATAGTGCACAGGAGGACTAGATGAATGTTCTAGACCATGACCTTGTACATACGTGCTGTGAGGTACAGAGCAGCATGGGTGACTGCCTCACCACCTCTGTGCTAGAAAAGGAGGCAACATTCTTGTGGCTTAAAAACAGCGTTGTAGCCAGCCATACTACGCACACATGCACACACGCCTTTAATCCAACTCGCAGCAGGCAGAGACAGAGCTCTATGAGTTCAAGGACATTCTTGTCAACATAGTGATTCCAGGCCAGCCAGGGCTACATAGTCAAATTTTGTGTCAAAAAATAAAACAAAACAAAAAAAGCCCCACCAAAAATAAGAGCAAGCAAGTAAGCAGTGCTCCTGTGTGCGTCACTAAACCCAGTACATGCACATTAGCTTTTTTAAAGAAAAATTTTTGTCTAGCAAAAAACAGTAACAGAAAGAGCCCATCCCCAGCTGGAACTTAATTAGTCTCATGATGACATAATTAGGTTCAGTGGTTAGAGCACGGCCTGCTCTTGCAGAGGACCTCGGAATTCCTAGCATCCATGATGGCAATAGTCAGCCACAGCTCCAGGTCCAGGGATCTGCTACCCTCCTTTGACATCCGAGGGTAGCAGGCATACATTCATGGAGGCTCACAGCCATCCACAGCTCCAGGGATCTGCTAACCCTCCTCTGACGTCTCAGGGCAGCAGGCATACACCTATGTGCACAGATAATCATGTAAGCCAAATACCCATTACACATAAAGTAAAAGTAAGTAAATCTTTAAAAAATCAAATAGTACACATAGGTATAGGCCAGCTTCTGAGTGAATCTTACTAACATAATGTCCAGAGGACAAGAAAGTCCCAGAGAAAATGCACAAAGGGTACGTGTGTGTGTGTGTGTGTGTGTGTGTGTGCGTGTGCGTGCGCGCACGTGTGTGTGTCTGCACATGCATGAGCAGAGGGACAGCGGACTGAATGTCCGTCACACTCCACTTTCTGTTTGGAGGCAGGATAGCTCATTGAGCCGGGATCTTACGGGGTAGGAAGACTGACTGGTTCGAAGGCTCTCAGGGTCAGTCTGGCTGTCTGAGTGCCCACCCGCAGTGCTGCGCTCACCGGCACAGGACGATATAACCAGCCGAGTGTTGAGGATTTGAAATCAGGCCTCTGGCTTTCACAGCAAGCATTCTTACCCACTGATCATCACCTCAACCCACAGATAGTGACAGTCACGGAGGGGTGGGGGGATAGGTGGTTTAACTGTTAGGAGATCAGGTTGGATCCAGAGGCAAGTGGCTGGGAGACAGTAGCAACGTTAGCGGGAAGCCTGGGTGTACGATGAGTTCAGGAGGGAGCGTGGCTGGGGTGGCCTCCCTGTCCAGCCAGTGTGCGGGCCTAGGCTTCAATCCCTAGTGCTGCTGACAGCAGCCATGATTAAGAAAGGTGGGAGGTGCTGTAAGCGTTGTCAAGCTTCCCTCATGGCGGTGAGATCCTCCTACCCAGGCCCATAAGTGGCTCTGCTCTTTTTCTGTCCATTCTTTCCCTGTAGAGCCCAGTTCCATTTTTTTACTACTCCATGGGAGTCTTTTGGGGGGGGGGCGGGGAGGTTCTCTGTGTAGCCCTGGCTGTCCTGGAACTCGAGTAGACTAGGCTGGCTTTGAACTCAGAGATCCGCTTGCCTCCGCCTCCCAAGTGCTGGGATTAAAGGCGTGCGCCACCACTGCCCGGCCAGAGTTGTGTTTTAGCTGACTCAGTCCTCACAGAGTTAACAAATTCCTTTGGCCCAGGAATTTATCTTCTCTGTGCATCCCTTAGTGCACAGGGCACAGGGTCGCTCGCTGTGGCAGTAGAGGGCGGAGTGTGTGGGGGTGGGAACCATAAGCAGACCTGTCTGTCCACTCGCAGTGTTCCAGCTGTAGGGTTAGGGAAAGAGCTGTGTGGGCAGCGTGGACATTAGGAAAGCAAACTGCCCGTGTGTGATGTAGCCGGCGTGCCTTGGTGAGCCTGTCCTTTCCTGGCTGCGATGACACTGTTCGTGTGTTTACAGGGAGCATACAGATGGGATCAGTCATGTTTAATTCGTGGTCGTGCATGAAGAACTGTGGGACATACGACTATAATATCAGTGTGTCACTTAACAGACTGCCCAGAGCCAGCCAGGGCAGGGTGGGGTCGTAGTCCTTCTACATCTCTGTATTTAAAATAGCCAGTTTTAAAGGCAGGAATGTACCTCATACTAGTGTACTATCGATTGAGAAACCAGTCCACTCATACAAAGCAGGAGGCAGGCTGCCTGGCTCATGGCTTGCTAGTCAGTAAGCCTGTTGAACCTCTCGAGGCTGTCACACATGGTCTGTGTGTGACACCCAGGCACCTGACTGGTGCCGTGTAGCCTGGGCCACTTAGCTCTGTCTAGAAGCCAGGTTGAAGGGAAGGGCTCTAGAAAATCTAACCTGCCCTGGGGGTGAGGGTGTGTGTGTCACTGTGAATTCTCTGGAAATTACTTGCCCTGAAGTTGCTTCTTACCCACTGTAGGTCACCAAGGAAGCTTCTGCATGCTGTGCGTCATGCAGAACCACATGGTCCAGGCCTTTGCCAACAGCGGCAATGCCATCAAGCCTGTCTCCTTCATCAGAGACCTGAAAAGTAAGAATGGAGTTTGGGTTGTATCTGCCAAGGGCTAGTTCTGTGATTGGAGGAGAGAGGAGAAAAGAGCCGTGAATGAAGGCTCAGGAATCCTCCTGTGTGGAATGTCTCATGCAGCAGTGCAGACCCAAGGCATGGTAGTCAGTGTAGACACATGGGCTCAGCGTTACTGAAGAGAGCTCTCTGCTGGGCACCATGCGGAAGAATAGCTAGGTGTTAGCCGGGTGGAGGGCAGGTGAACATGAGCGCGGGACAGGTGGGCGTGTCTATGGTGAGGGGCATCAGAGCAGCCAGCTGCTGCATATTGTGAGGAAGCCCAGCTTTCTAGTCAGTCGGCAGAAAGGTTGAGCCCACCGCGAATCCACTGTGACATAATGTGTTGGCTCTCGGAGAAGTGGCGTCCCAAAGTCACCTCCCACCGTCATCCCCCTCTTCTGCAGAGATTGCCCGGCACTTCCGATTCGGGAACCAAGAGGATGCGCACGAATTCCTGCGGTACACCATTGACGCCATGCAGAAGGCCTGCCTGAATGGCTATGCTAAGTACGTGCCTCAGCGCCTCTGTCCTTGGCGGAGGACACCTTCTTTGTGTTGGGCAGCATGAAGTTCTTGTCAACACGGTCTCCTCTCTAGGCTGTCCTCTGAGAAGGAGGTAGCGTTGACACCCAGGTGCCTGACTCCTGGTACCCTGTAGTCTGGGCCACTTAGTTGTGTCCAGAAGCCAGGTGAGGGGAAGTCTGTCTCTGGCTGTGAACTCGTCCAGTCTGTAAAACCATGCCACTACTTTGAAGTAGAGAAGGAAGGTCAGGGCTCATACTCCTTCAAGCATTATTTGTCTCACGTATGTGAGCACAACGCAGCTGTCTTCAGACACACCAGAAGAGGCCATCGGACCCATTACAGATGGCTGTGAGCCACCATGTGGTTGCTGGGAATTGAACTCAGGACCTCTGGAGGACCAGTCAGTACTCTTAACTGCTGAGCCATCTCTCCAGCCCTCATACTCCTTGAAAACAGTATGTGAGAGGTTGTAACTTGGAGGTTTTGTTCTGTTTGATGCTGGGTTGTTTTCTGTTGTTTTCGTCTGTCAGGGTCCATCTGTGTGGCCTGAGTTGCCCTCAGCCTCCTTGCACTGACAACTGTTTCTGGGGTGCTATATGTTACTGCTAGAGGTTTTACGTTTGGGGAGATATCCTAAATGTTCCCTTTTACCTCCCACACCTAGCGTCTACATGCCTGTCTGTCTGTCCCTTTGCCTTCTTCCCATGTTTCTGGAGTCTGCCCCAGCTGCCCAAGCCTCTGAGTAGCCGTGTGGGCTCTGACTGCTCCTTGCTTTCAGTATACTCAGGGCTTGTGTCCCTGCAAGTTTGGGAGCTGAATTGTCCTTCTGATTAATGGTGGTGACTGATTTATTTTATTTTAATTTTATTTATTTATTTATTTATTTTGGTTTTTCAAGACAGGGTTTCTCTGTGTAGCCCTGGCTGTCCTGGAACTCACTCTGTAGACCAGGCTGGCCTCAAACTCAGAAATCCGCCTGCCTCTGCCTCCCAAGTGCTGGGATTAAAGGCGTGCTTCACTACCATCTGGCGGCTGATTTTATTTTTATTGCCTATCATTGCACAACCAAGTTGCGTTCTCTAGATTGTAAACCCTGGTTCCTTAATCAGTTCACAGGCCCATGGGCCGTGCATCACGGGTTCAGCCACATGATGACGACCACTGGAGATGGCCATGGGAGGTCTCCACACGTAGTGCCACTCAGCGGCTGTGGCTGAGGATGTGACATTGGGCCAGAAATAGTGCTTGGAGGATGTCCCCAAGCAGCTATTAGCTGGATACACCCTTCTATTGTTCTAGTCTCCCAGTGACTTCCGCGTCATAGCTAGTCCCAGAGGGCGAGTGGGCGTGGTCAGCCAAGTGGTGTGCTCAGCAGGAGGAACTATGTCCTGGTCAGGCAAGAAAGACTCTAGTCAGCGTGGTTAGCGCTGCCCATGTGTCTGCTTAGCCGTGTCAGGGAAGAGGGTAGGGTGTTCCTCCTCTATCCAAGGCTCAGCTGATCTACCCTCATGTGTGTCTTAAGAGTTTCACTGCTGTGAACAGACACCATACCCAGAGCGACTCTTACAAAGGGCAACATTTAATTGGAACCGACTCACAGGTTCTCAGGTTCAGTCCTTTATCACCATGGTGGGACGCATGGCAGCTCAAAAAATAAAACAATCAAATATCAAAAAATAAAAGCTAGGAACAGACTGACTCCAGGCAGCTAGGCCGAGGGGTCTCAAAGCCCACCCCACAGTGACACTTCCTTCAGCAAGGCCACACCTACTCCAACAAGGTCACTCCTAACAGTGCCACTCCCTAGGCCAAGCATACTCAAGTTACCACAGTGTGATAGCCAATCAGGTAGCACGCAGAACCTGCATGCCCAGTGGAAGGCATGGGAAGAAAGGGCCAGTGCCACTGGTCACAGAGGCTGGACCTGCCTCCCTAGTCAAGGCTTGGGTCTTTGGATGCTTGCACTGGATGGGGATGCTGGGGTGTTCTTTGGGTTGTCAGTGTAGTTGCCTGAGATGTTGTAGGGGTGGGGCCCAGGTAGGTAGAGGTTCTGTAAGGAGCTCAGGAACACTGCTGGGGCTTAGGTGGGAGAAGGATATCCCATTGTCAGGTGATCTGGTGGTGACGGGTTGGGGATATTGCCTATGAATAGGTGTCATCCTGTGCTGAGCCATCCTCTTCATGCCTTCGGCTTCCTTTTAGGCTGGATCGGCAGACACAGGCTACTACCCTTGTGCATCAGATATTTGGAGGCTATCTCAGGTCCCGAGGTAAGCAGGAGGCATGCTCTCCACCTAAGCAGATCTGCACACATTCCTAGACTGAGAACTTGACCACATGGTGGTGGCTGAAGCTCCCAGGCCTTGTCTTTCTGCATGGCCACCCTTGTCCACTGTAGGCGTATCCCCTGAGGGAGCTGGAGAAGCAGAGGTGTGCCAATGGAGCTCATCCTCAGAGCTGCATGGTCCTTGGGGTGAGGCCTGTGTTTGGCTGTGAGGGCTTGCCCTCTGACCTGTGCCAGTGGTCAGTCAGGCAGACCAGGCCTGTTGACAGAACCTGCCATCACCTATATCTCTGTCTCCAGTTGGTGGGTCAGTCACCTTTTGGGAGAGCTGAGTTGAATGCTCTAGACCTGTGGTTCTAGGTTCTGGACCTGGGAGAACCCTCGTGGGTCACAGCTGTCCTATGCCTCTGTTCTGTTGCAGTGAAGTGCTCTGTGTGCAAGAGTGTCTCAGACACGTACGACCCCTACTTGGACATAGCACTGGAGATTCGGGTATGCTTGGGCAGTGATCTGTGTTCCTGGGGTGTGAGAGGGCGGTCCTCGGACTCAGCAGTGAGAACAGTGTGGGTCAGATAGACGCGGAAGGCTGCTTGGTTCTCCTGCAGCTGCTGCGTGCTTACCTCTGCTGCACAAGGCAGACAAGCCAGCATTGGCATCTCTCTGTGTTCTCCTGTGCAAATTCTTTCCGTTAAAAAGAGTAAAGCCGGGTTTCCTGTTCTGACGCACAGAAAGTGACAGTGCCTTACTGAGATTCGGGGAGAGCGTTTAGAACGGGCACCGTTAGCCTCCTTTGCTGTCAGCCTGCCCTTGCCTTTGCTGGGACCTTGAGTCTCTGAGCCAGCCCAGCTGCAGTCACAGTGAGAGTGTCTGACTCACGAGAAAGACTCACATGGCTGTCACTTGTCTCCTCTAGAGAAGGGCACTGTCTGCTCCCTGCTTCTCTGCTCAGGGTAGGTCGTGTTAGCAGGCCAGTTTTTAAGCAAGTCAGGTTTTATCAGTTGCTGCCTCAGCCTGAAAAGACCTTAAATCTGGGACTTCTTGAGTCAGGGATTTTCTTCTGCTGCTCATGCTGCTCCATTTTTGTCCTCCTCAGCAAGCTGCAAATATTGTGCGCGCTCTGGAACTTTTTGTGAAGTCAGATGTCCTGAGTGGAGAGAACGCCTATATGTGTGCTAAGTAAGTGTCCTTTACAAGGAAGGGACCATTCACAGTATATGTGTGCTAAGTGAGTGTACTTTGTAAGGACGTGGCCATCCTGAGCACCATTACAGCTGCCTGGCCGTCCTTCAGGGATGACCCCTGCTCACGTTTCCTGAGTGGCAGGACAGGACTGAGTGAGGTCCATAGCTGCTCCCCTGTACCTGTCCTGGATGACGGCTCTGCACGAGGAACAGAGTGCTGTTTTCCTTGTTGTCTACGTTAGAAACTGAGAGAGACGCAAAGGGTCTGACACCTAGACCACCAGCAGCTTCTGACCCGCATGACCCGGGTCATCTTTCCAATAAGCACAAACAGTTGTCCTTACGGGGCTTGTCCTGGACTTGTGCTGGCATGGAGCCCACTAAAGCTGCAGCACCAAGCACACTTCTTTCCAGGTCTCTGCTGGCCCAGAGCTGCTGGATTGTATTTTTGTTTGTTTTATTTTTAATACATATATTTTGTTTGTTAGTTTATTTTGAGGCAGGGTCTCACTGTTTAGCACTAGCTGGGATTAAAGGCAAGCACCACTGCATTGGGCTTTTGTTTGTTACAAGATAGAGTCTCACCAGGTAGCCTTGGCTGTCCTGGAACTCACTGTGGACCAGGCAGGCCTCAAACTCAAGAGATTTTCCTGCCTCTGCCTCTGGAGTGCTGGGAATAAAGGTGTACTCCACCACTACATTGGGCTTTTTTCTTCTCTCTCTCTCTCTCTCTCTCTCTCTCTCTCTCTCTCTCTCTCCCCCTCTCTCCCCCTCTCTCTCCCTCTCTCTCTCCCCCTCCCCCTCCCCCTCTCTCTTTTTTTTTCTCTCTCTCTCTCTGTTCTTCCCTGTGCTACCCAAAGTCAGCCGTTCACACTTGCCATGTGGGCTCCTGCCCGAGTGAGTCATTTGCTCTGAGACTTCCATCTCTAGTCTTTGCTGCCTTCTTGAGTTTTCTTTAGCTTAGAGCCTGTAGATTTTGGTTTCATGTGCCATTGGTGCGGGCCTCCCGTTACTGAGGCGCAGGTCACCACACTGCAGAGCACACCAGGAGCTTCCATTCTCTCCTGTAGGTGTAAGAAGAAGGTTCCAGCCAGCAAACGCTTCACCATCCATAGAACATCCAATGTCCTGACTCTGTCCCTTAAGCGCTTTGCCAACTTTAGTGGGGGGAAGATCACCAAGGTGAGTGCACCCCACCTGCCGAGACGCCCCGACTGCCTGTCATCACACAGGCAGGCCTTGGGAATTGGCATTTCTCTTTCTCTTTTAAAAAGTTTCTATTTTGTGTGTGTGAATGTTTACATTGTGCATGCTTGTCTGTGCATCATTTGTAAAGCTGGTGGCCTCAGAGGCCAGAGAAGGTGTGTATCCCCAGAACTGGAGTTACAGATGTGAGTTTAAGTGGATGCTGAGAATTGAATTTGAGTCCTCTGCAGCAGCAGCCAGTGCTCTTAACTGCTGAGCCATCTCTCAAGCCCCCACCCCTTAGACAAAATTCATTTGTTTGTTTGTTTGTTTGTTTTTTGAGACAGGGTTTTTCTGTGTAATCCTGGCTATCCTGGAACTTGCTCTGTAGACCAGGCTGGCCTCTAACTCAGAGATCCCCCTGCCTCTGCCTCCCAAGTGCTGGGATTAAAGGTGTGCGCCACCACTGCCTGGTATACCTCCATCTCTCATTTTCTTGTCTGTGTGTATATCGGTGTGAATATGTGCCATCTGTTTTGTGGTACCTGCAAAGACCACAAGAGGCATCATCTTCCGAGGCTGGAGTTGTAGGTGGTTGTGAGGAGCCCGCCCACAGGAGATCTGGGAACTGAACTCGGGTCTTCTAGAAAAGCAGCAAATGCCTCTAACCCATTGGGCGTTCTTCCAATGCTCACACAGATATACATAGGGGTAAATCACCAATATAGGTAAAATAAAAATAAATTACTGAGAATAAAGAATGAGTGAGGTGAGTATTGGACATGCAGCTGATTCACTGTGTGGGTGGAGTCTGACTGTATGCTAAGGCTTTGTGGAATAGAGTAAAAATGCACTTTTAGCACAGTAGGATATGTCCTGATTACCTTCTCTGTGGCTGTGCTAAAATACCAACCAAAAGCAGCTGTGGGGAAAGATTTATTCTTCATGCAAGTCATAGCCCTCATCCAGGGAAACTAGGTAGGCCTCAGGACAGTCTAATGGAGGTCAGTTCTAATGGAGGTTCCCTCAAGTGACTGTTTGTGTCCGGCACAGGGTTTTCCTAGATGTCTGTTTTATAGGAGTCATTCATAGAGTCTGTTACATGCTTGGGGAGGTGGGGGGCAAGTCACTTGTCAGAGCCACAGTGGCAAGGATTGCAGCAGTCTACAGGCCTTTCAAAAACTCTCTCAAGGTTTGAGTCTCTAAGGATTTATTATAAGGAATTGTCTAGGGTCGGTGAGATGGTTCAGTTTGTAAATAGACCTGCTGCCCAGGGACCTGGCTTCAATTGTGTCACCAACTTGATATAAAAAGAGAACTGACTCCTGAAAGTTGTCCTCCAGCCTCCAGTGCTATTACATAGCATACTCAACAGGTGGCGGTGACACACCCCTTTAAACCTAGCACTTGGGAAGCAAAAGCAGGTAGATCTCTTGAGTTCAAGGCCAGCAAGAAACCTTGTCTAGAGGAAAAAACTGTGTGTGTTTCACTAGCGTAGTGGCTAGCACGTTTGCCTCACACATACACATACTCAGATAAAATGTAAGAAAAGAGAAACAGTGTCATCCTCCTGAGCCTGACGGTTTGCACACAGTTGGTGGGGGAAGCGCTGCGCCCATGTCCGCTGGAGCTTAGGTTTCCTGTGAGCCCTTCTCAGCTGTGGTTTAGAGAACCCCAGTCTGTGACCCATTCTTCTGTTTGAATCTAAAAATTCTATATTATAACAAAGTTGGGTCCAGGTTCAGGAGCCTGTTGTTTATATGAGGCTTATGAGGCTTTGTCAGTAGAAAGAAAGAGCCGGGTCTGGCAACACATGCCTGTAGTCCAGCACCTGGGAGATGGAAATGGAAGGGTTTCGGTAAGTTCACAGCCAACCTGGGCTGCTTTGCTGAACTGGGGGCCATCCTGGGCTATATAGTGAGTTGGAGTGTATCCTAGGGTACACAGTGAAGATTGGTCAAAGCAAACATTCCTGAGAGTTATGGATGCAAAAGGAGAATGACCCTTATTCTCCTGAGTAAGTGTTCCTTGCCTTTCCTTTTCTAAACAGGATGTTGGCTATCCAGAGTTCCTGAACATCCGTCCATACATGTCGCAGAGCAGCGGTGACCCTGTCATGTATGGTCTCTATGCTGTCCTGGTGCACTCAGGCTACAGCTGCCACGCTGGGCACTACTACTGCTATGTGAAGGTCAGAGTTGACCTGGCTGCCGAGCTCAGCTGCGCAGCAGGCGAGCTTGTTCTGGGGGGAGGGGAGCCCTGACATCTAAGTGAGGCCATTGCACCTTTTTGTTGTCTTCTGGGGAACAGCAGTGCTTTGAATTTGTGTTTCCGTTTTCCTTTCCATAAATGGGTAGAAAGATGTCTTTTACATCATGGTTCTGGGGCCAGCAGAACGGCTCGGCAGGTAAAATGCTCACTTCAGGCCTCACCCCTAAGTGCCACTCGAGGGACCTTCGAGGTGGAAGGGTGGAACTGAGTCCCTCAAGTTTCTTGCACTGTGGCACATACACAAGCTCCACCCCCAATAAGCAAACAAATGAATACATGTAATTTTAAAAGTTTTTAAGGTCCCTAGTGGGTGTGGTAAGCCTTGCCTTTGTAACTCCAGTATTCTGGAATTGAGAGTTTGAGCTTGGCTGAAATGCATAGTTGTCCTCTGTCACAGATAAAACAGAAGGTAACTTGTGGCCCATCTGCTGATTGCTATGTCCTTTACCATTTCCTCCCGGTGCTCAGGCCAGCAATGGACAGTGGTACCAGATGAACGACTCCTTGGTCCATTCCAGCAATGTCAAGGTCGTGCTGAACCAGCAGGCCTACGTGCTCTTCTATCTTCGGTGAGGAAGACAGTCCCTGGAATTGTCCATGCCCTAGAGAAAACATGTTCTGAGTGAGCCAGAGGTTGTCTGAAGCTCTTTCCTGTCTGTAAGCTCCTGGGAATTTCCTGGAGGGGAATTCTCTGGAGCTTGTCCTCTGGGAAGGACCTTTCAGCCAAGCCCTAAGGCCTGGTGGGTGGGTGAAAGCCGGGCTGTTGTGGGGGGCCTCTGAGGGGGAGAGCTCTGCCTGCCTACAGCAGTGGGTAGGTGACTGTTACTTATGTAGTAGCCTTGGTGAGGCCTTTGACTTTGTGTGGTGTCAGCCTTGGCATCTTTAGTGAAGTGACCCATCTCACATTGAGTGGATGGGCACCAACAGAGATTGGCTGTCCCTGAGGGACTCCAGGCACTTGGTGCTACCCTGCCAATTCTGGGTGATGGTTTTGGGGATCTTTGGCTTGTTTGCTCCTTGAGGGTGAGCCCTAGAGGGCTCTGTACCCTCACTGCAGGCACCAGTGCTTCTGTCTGGTTCTTAGGATGCAGAGAGTCAAGATAGGGGTTCTGAGAAGCCTGTCGGGACCCTGGGGCCTCCGAGATGCTCTTCTTTCCCTGCTCACCCAGGTGCAGCCCTGGCCTTCAGTGTCTCGGAGCTGCTTGGCCTGAGTGGGGAAAGTCCTTGACTCTCGTCTTTCCTCTGTAGGATTCCAGGCTCTAAAAAAAGTCCTGAGGGCCCTGTCTCCAGGGTGGGCACCACTCTTCCCAGCCGTCCCAAGGTCATTCCAGATCACCCCAAGAAGAACCCTGGCAATGGGGTCGTGTCCTCCCCACTGATGGCAAAGGTACTGTGTAAGTGGAAGAGCCGGCCTGACCACCCTTCTCGCTCCTGCTTTGAGTGTTTCAGAGTTCCAGGCGGTCTCCTCTGTGAGCCCTGAGAGGGTGTGAGAGGATGTGTAGGCTGTGGTACTGTACCAACCAGATTACTTCTTAGTTTGGTTATCAGCTGCCTTGGGAAGGGAAAGACAGGACTGTGGGTGTTCAGCTGCTGCACAGAGTGCTGGGCAGGTTTGACAGGCTGACTGAACGCAGGCTTCTGGGGAAACACCAGTGCTTTCTCTTAAAGCTGGTGTCATGACCTTTTGTTTCTTTAGTTCTTTGGTGCTAGACATAGGCATACCTGTGGCTTAAAGGACCTGTGCGATGTCTGGATTTTATGCAAATGATTCAGAATAGAAACATACTTATGTGTATATACACACAGACATGTGTACCCACACACATACATAGCAGTAAAGCTTAGTCGTCTATGGACTTCTGGTTTTTCAAGACAAGGTTTCTGTGTAGCCCTGACTGTCCTGGAACTCACTCTGTAGACCAGGCTGGCCTCGAACTCAAGAGAACCCTCTGCCTCTGAATGCTGAGATTAAAGGTGTACCTAGCTTGGACTTTTGGATTTTAAACTAGGTGATTTGACTGCAGAGTTGGAAGTCATTGCAGCCCTTTGGGAGGCTGACAGCCTCATCTGCAGAGGTGCCCCTGATGGAAGGAGGCAGACCTGGGCACCCAGAGGCCATGGGACAGCTACAGCAGGAGGGCAACGCTGCTTTCCTGGCAGGGCCTTGTTCAGCACACATCTTCCTGTACCGCCCGTATGGAAAGCCGCTTTTGGAAGGAAGAGAACAGGCCACTCTTAGCCCAGGCTGGGTTTGAACTTGAAGTGATTCTTCTGCCTCAGCTTGCTGGGTGCTGGTTACAGATGTGAGCTGTTGTACCTGCCCACTGTTATTTTACTTTGAGGCCCTGGTGTACATGATTTTCAACAAATGACCAGGTTTTACAGAACGAGAGATGTTTTCTTGTCAGGAAACAGTCTGCAAAAGTAAGCCAGGGGGCTGGAGATGGCTCAGCAGTTAGTAGCACTGACTGCTCTTCCAGAGGTCCTGAAGTTCAATCCTCAGCACCCACATGGTGGCTCACAGCAATCTGTAACGGAATCTGATGCTCTCTTGTGTGTCTGAGGACAGCTATCGTGTACTCACATACAAAATAAATAAATCTTATTTAAAAAAACAAACAAGCCATTCTAAAACTCAGAAGAAAGTAGAAATCATTAAAACTGTGAAATAAGACTTGGTGCCCTTTCAGATAGGTAGGAAGGAAACGTGGCAGTTGGGTAGAGTGTAAAGGTTTCTAAAAACACCAGGCAGTGGTGGCGCATGCCTTTAATCCCAGCACTTGGGAGGCAGAGGCAGGTGGATTTCTGAGTTCGAGGCCAGCCTGGTCTACAGAGTGAGTTCCAGGACAGCCAGAGCTACACAGAGAAACCCTGTCTTGAAAAACCAAAAAAAAAAAAAAAAAAAAAAGTAAACTTTTAAAAAATGCTCGCAGCAGGGGACTGGGAGAGGTAGTTCAGTGGTCAGTGTGTGCTTAGCTTGTGAGGCCCTAGGCTCCAACTTGGTATTCCCCCCTCCCCCGACTCCCCAAAAGAAGAATTGTAGCAAACAAAGAACACACTTGGGTGACAGCTGTGGAGGGTAGGACTGATGGAGTGACTAGACACAGGACTCTGTCACAGCAGTGTCCAGAACTGTATACATCCATTGCCAGGAAACAGGAAGTTCTGTTTGACCACATGAGTTGAAGTTCCCGAGGTAATCGACAGCCCAGGGATACTTACGCTTTCCAGAATTGTTAGCATGGCTGCTAAGTACACAAAAGACTGCAATCTTTATTTTGTAATTGAACAACAACAAAAACATTTAAAGTACTGACTGTGTGTGAGGCCTTGTGTGAACCACAAGGACTGTGGTAACTGAGGAGAGAGGTACTCAAGCAGGAGGCGGCCATCATGAAAGGTTTACAGACAGTGGAGTCTTTGCATATGACCTTGGTTTTTAAAGATTTATTTTTATGTGTATGTACATGCAGTGCCCACAGAGGCCAGAAGAGGGTGCTGCATTCTTTGGTACTGGTGTTCCGCATTCTTTGGTACTGGTGTTCCAGATGGTTATGAGCCACCTATGTATGCTTGGAACTGAATTCTGGTCCTCCGTGAGAGCAGCCAGTCCTCTTAACCACTGAGCCATCCCTCCAGCCTCCAAAACCTGCTCCTTTTGACTTCTGTGTCATTTATTTACTTTTTTTTTTTTTTTTTTGGCAGATATGTGAGCTTAGAAAAAAGCTTAGGTTTTGTTGTTGTTTGATTGATTGATTGTTTTTAATTAAGGCATGGGGAATGATACAAGCTTATGTAGACAATCAAATGTGTAGCTGCCAGTGAGACACTAAAGACTTTAAGGGCATCTCCTTCCTGTGCGTAGCTGTGACAGGATGATGACACTGTGTGGCCATCCCGGTAATGACCTAGTGGAAGACCGTTTACATGATGGGGGCTTCTCTTTCTCCCTCTGCATCCTCTCAAATCTTGTCAGACCCTGTCACTTTCATAGTAAGGACAGTCATAAACTGCAGCCTGTTTTGTATACAAGTCCTGAAGCACCAAAAGTCTTCACCATTAGCTAGAACCCAGATTGCTCCCAGAAGTTGCCCTGATGGGGAAGCCTGCTTTGGCTTAGCCGTGTTCCCTGGACAGTGCTCCTCGGGCTCTGATGGCTTCCCGCCTTGCTCCTTTTTAGCGACAAGACTCTGTAATGATGAGAAAGCTGCCAGCCCCTGAGGAGGTTGGCATGCCTGTGTCCAGAAGTGGCTCCGTTCCTGGTCTGAAGTTACAGAATGGATGTGCTCCTGCAAAGACGCCTGCCGGGTCCCCCTCCCCAAGACTCACTCCAACACCCACACACCTGCCCACCATTCTGGACGAGCCTGGAAAGAAGGTGAAGAAGTCAGCCCCACCACAGTCTCTCACCTCATCTCCAACCACTTCTCAGGGCTCTCCTGGGACCGGTGAATCCAGGAGCCAGCGGCCTGGCTCCTGGGCAAGCAGAGATACCATCTTCTCTACCTCACCAAAGCTCCTGGCCAAAGCCATTACTAATGGGCACAGGCTGAAGGGGGACGGCACTGGTGTGGACCTGGAGAAAGGGGGTTCGAGCAGCTCAAGCCCAGAGCACTCTGCCAGCAGTGACCCTGCCACGGCCCCTCAGACCTCAGAGGGCAGAGCTACACATGTCTGTGATTCTCAGGGAACAAACTGTCCCGCCACTGGCCATCCCAAAGCGCTGTTGAATGGAGTAGATGCCAAGATGGTAAAGTTGAAGTCCCCTGCCTTGAGCAGCACCTCTACCGAGCCCACAAGCCTCATGTCTCCTCCACCAGCCAAAAAACTGGCCCTGTCGGCCAAGAAGGTGGGTCTGTGGGGGTCTCCTCTCTGAAAGTGCCCTGGTGCTGGAGATGAGAGGGTAGGATAGGAAATCACAAAAGACCATGGCCTCCTTCCTAACTTAGACCAAGGACCAGAGTGCCTGTTAGTGTTCCGAGCAATTCGCAAGTTGAGAAAGGGCTGTTTAAGGTGAAGATTGTTTTGAGGGGAACCCCAGTTATTCAGGACCTCAGTTTGCTATTAGTCGTGGCTGAGAGGGCTGACCAGTTTTCTATGATGGAGTCTCCTAATTGAGCCACAGGAAGAGCTGTAGGCCACAGGACACTCAGAGTGGGAAGGACAGCCGCCCTAGCTGGAGGGTGGGGGATGTAGGGAGGCTGAGGAGGAGCTGTCCCTCAGCTTGTGTGGGCGGTGAGCAGTGTGTGTGCGCGAGTGCATGCATGCATATGCTGGGGTGTTTGTGTGAGAAGTAGGAGTGTGCTGGGATGCTTGTGTGGGCAGTGAGCGGTGTGTGGGCATGTGCTGGGGCGCTTGTGTGAGCGTGAGCTGGGGTGCTTGTGTGGGCAGTGAGCGGTGTGTGGCCATGTGCTGGGGCGCTTGT